TGGTGTTCAAGTAGCAGCTATATACAGTATGATTACATCCCTGTTCCTGTCAGTCAATATACGAACAGTGCACACATGGGCAGCCTGGATTAAAACATCAAAGATTTTCAAAGCAACTATGCCCAGGTGAGATATTTCTGCAGAAATCTAAATTCAAAGTCCTTATGATTGCCTACAGCGATTGATTTTTATTGTAAACAATATCTTACTGAGTGTATGTTTCTTGTGTACTAATTGCTGTAGAACACAGAGACCACTGTTATGACAGAGATATTAATGTGTGAAAAGTTCCATTAAAAAATGCACTGGGAGCAAATTAAATCATCGTAGATGCAGCTTCTGAGAGATCCCCAATATTAATGGAACATACATTGTACATACATGTAAAAGAGTTCAATAATTTATTACTTAAGATTGTAATGCTTTGTTTGGTTTCTCTATATTTACAGACAACTTGATGCCAGAATAATCTCTGCACTAAGTTCATTGAACAAACTGACTTGGAAATTGAGTTCTGCAACCCATACCGTGTGTAGTAATATCATAGCTGCAACATTGTGACAGATACACTGTATTACTTTATTAAGAAACACCTATGATACATGTATTAACTAATTATTTAAAGTGTCTGCTAAATTAATCAGTTTTTCTTAGAGATAATTTACTCATTATGTCATGGTTTATTTAAACAATTGATTTTTTGGCTTAAAAATGATATTTATTGTGCTTGGTTTATGTTGCTCTTAAATCAATTTTGTGATATCCTGCACTGGGCACGGCATAAATTAATATTTTGCCAACACGAAATGGAGAACTGGGTCTTAAGCAAAGTTACAGGATTAGTATTTTTGTAGAAAGAAAGAGTCGAGAAATTTGTGACATTCTACCGACAGCCTTTCCCATTCGCAACGTCCAATAAGGTTAATTTGTTCCCCAGTGTTGTTCAAATAGTGTTCTCTAATTCATACATTATTTCAATCTGTTGTTTAAATGATTGCCTTATAACCCCATGTCCAGCTTTGGTTCATGTAGGATATTGATGTATTGTTTATCCATTTTGCTGTACATTATCTTTAATTGATGTGTCAATCAAAACATATCTTGGATATGCTGGCTTTTTCTGACAAAAGTACCTATGCCTCATAATCTTTGAGTGCGTTTGGTTGTGTAGTGTAGACAAAATACACGTACATAATATAACTTACTCATAGCTTACTTATAATTCTTGGTATAATTTATTCAAATTAATTAATGATACCCAATAACAGCTCCTGTAGTCCACAATCTCAGTCGAGAAAAAGACGAAATCACTTTGGAATTGAATAATAAAATTATTATCAGAAGCCTATGCAAGTATTCATGATCAGAAACAAAATATCATATTTATCGTTCATGCCAGAGTGATTTTGCTTATACTTATACTTTGAGATATGATGCAAACCCTTTCAGCAGGAGGAGGCTCCATACAAAAATGAAGATGGCTAACTATCTTGGGGGATCAATTTAGAAAACAAAACTTTTTAACTTTTTACATGTGTATACTATTTTGTTATTTTTGTGAGATTTCATTTGGCAGAGATTTGGGGACTGCATATTTTGAAATCACTGCATTTCAGTCATACCCCACAACAAAAAAGATGTGTGAACTTCTTTTGTGCGGGAGTTCCCATGTTAAGTAAGAAAGAATATAATGATTAGTAGCAATGTCTTGTCTTTCTCAACAAGAAAGAACAAGAAATGCCACCAAAAAGCACAGAAGACAGTTCTGTTATATGATCAACATGTTTGGTGGCTCCCCTGAAATCCTTGAAATCATGGCTCTATTTTCATCATCACGCCATCTTACACCTCAATCTGCTGATGTAATCCTATTTCGGGCTGAAACTATAAAATCGCTCGCAGTTTACCTCATACATGTACATGTTGGATTATTTTCATTAGTAGCAACATTCCAAAAAATAACTAACGAGCTCCGCTTTTAGGCTGGGCTAAATCTATATATTAGCGTTATCAAGACCGATCGTCGAGGACTAATTTAAACTTTTTTCATTAACACTCAGTGCCTCTTTAAGTGATCTACCTTACTTTCAGAGTTGACACTGGTTTTCAAGGCTTTTGTACCCGCATGTGTCATCTTAATATAGCGGCAGATATGCTGTTTATTTTTGGTTTTTTATGTTTGCATTTTAAATGGCAATGTCTGGTTAATTCCTTGACGTGCCGAGAAAATGAGACCTTAGGATAGAATAAATTACAGACGATAGTTTTTTTTTTAGCTTCTAACATCAATCACTGATCAGGCTGAGAAGTTTAAAGAGGCACTTTATAACTTTACTTTAAAGTCGGAGCTTGAAAAACAGTTTTGCCTCATATAAAAATTATAACCTTCAGTCAGATTAAAAAATTTACATATAACAAACAAAAAAACTATGGTTATGAAGTTAGTACTAAAAATGTAACTACAAACGTTAACTCCCGAATTACACATCCACCAGGAGTGATACAGAATTAAAAGAAGGATGATAGATGTTTTCAAATTATTTTATCAACGTAACGGTAGTGTTACTTTCTTCTGCTAAAATCTATTTGTCAGGAGAATTCGTTTTGATGAATTGTCTTCCAAATTAGTTTTTGTTAGCTTTTCTCTTTCTCAGAAACCTGTCTTTATCGTTTGTCCGTGACTTCATTTACTCTATTTATGCAGATTATTATGCAGATTTTTTTCATGAAATTATGAAAATTACGCCGTTGTATTTTAATATTAAAATACCTGTTCGATTAAACGAAATGTGCTAGAGAGCGAAAATAAAAACAAAACAAAACAAAACAATAATGAGAAGGGATACTTATAGATAGTGACTTCCAGTTCTCCAAATTAACTTGGAGTTGAATCTAACAATTGATCATGAGCTACAAGCGACCAGCTCATTAGACCACGATTTAAATTTCTGACTGCAGTGTTTCAAGTTCGACTTCGAGCTGAAGAGTTTGGAGGTTTTTTTTTTTCAGTTAGCCTTTGTCACCGTCAGGAAAAGCATATCTTCTTATATTTAACAAGCTAAAACTTCAGCATCTCATTTGTTATCAATAGGTCCGATCCACTTACATTCCCGCTAATAGAACAAGACCAGGGTGTTGACAGAGCCGTTCTTATATCTTCCCAGCATTAAAAGGCCTGGATAGGAGAAGATTACGGCAAAGCTAAAAGATAGCAAGAGACACAAGCAATGGCAAAAGTTAACAAACTAAATCAAACCCGAGTAGCGGTAGTATCTTTTGCTGCTTACGGCAACTTAAAATCAGTGGTGGCTGATCAAACTACTTACTCATACACTCTACCGCTGAGGGTAAACTAAAAGTTGGTAATGAACTGACAGTTTTGTCAAACATTTGTAAATAGCTCTTTTTCATCAAAAAAACTGTATAATTGATTTTCCCAAAAATTAAATGGGAACTTCAAAGTAAGAAAAAACAAAAACAAAACACATTGTGTAAAAAATATTAAGAGTCAAAATCTATGAATTCAGCCTCCTGATGATCTCTTTTGAAAAATATTATATTGTAAGATAGCAGTAGTTTTAAAATCAGATTTATGTTCAATACTCTTAAGAACATTATTCAAGCATATATGCTATATACCACACCAGCATTGGGTTTCTAAAGTTCGGTTTCCATGAC